AATGTGAGGTGGAAACAACCTTGTCTGTCCTGGCACTGGCTGTCTAGTGAAGAGAGACCCACATGCTAACAATAACAGGTGCCCCCACAAGTGTCTCCTACACATACTGGTCTGGCGGCCACTGACTGCTGCCTCAGCACTCCTCAAGAAGCTCCAGTCCTCTCAGCCCTGCAGCTTGACAACTCCGAAATCCTATATTCTGTCTGGTTGCCTGTGCATACCCGTGGCTGAGTATTCTGAATATCGTCAAAGATCCTTTGATGTTCCTTTTATTTATTTTTTTGACAGAAGAGAAGGAGTCTTACTGCTCCTTAATTTCACTCCTCTCCTTTCCAAAATCTAAGACTCTGTTGGGCTGAAGGGGTGGAAATTCCAGATCTTTAAGTAGTAACAAAGAGAACAAGAGAAAACAGTAAGGGTCCCTATATAAGACAATGCCTCCTTGCCAACCCTCAATGTGTCCCAACTCATAGGCCCTCAGCATACACAGCAGGAATGCTCAACCACAAGTCAGAATGTAAGTATGGGGAAATTCACATGTAATGGTGGAAATACTGTTTGCTCCCTTTTCACTTGATAGTAATGATTACCATCATGTTCCCCTACTATTCCACAATGATTTTAGCCCATCATGCTACAACCTGGTGACACTGTGTCCATCCCCAGTGGCCTCAGGTCCAGGGTCTGGGAGATCCCAGAACAGTTGTGCAATGGCAAGGGTGTGGACCAGTTTCAGAAGAGCAGGTACCTTTCTTTTGTGTGCCCCAGACTTTTTCTGTTAGATGGTGGATTCTGACTTGTCACCCCATTGCTACTAAAAATGCCTTAAACTATAAAATTCCCCCTTGTCAGAGGTGAATCTAGGTTTTATGAGCCCTAAATGCACAAACTTATCTTTGCTGCAATTTTTCGTTTTTTAAAGAGACTAAGTCTTGCAGAGTTATTTAGGCTTGTCTTCAGCTCCCAGGCTCAAGTCATCCCCTATCTCAGCTTCTCAAAGTGCTGTGATTTCAGAAATAAGCCACTTGGCCTGGCCCTTTGCTATACATTTTATTTTTATGTTTTTGAGACAGAGTCTCACTTGGTCACCCTTGGTAGAGTGCTGTGGCATCTTAGCTTACAGCAACCTCACACTCTTGGGTTCAAGTGATTTTCTTGCCTTAACCTCCCAGGTAGCTGGGACTGGCTATTTTTTGGAGACAAAGTCTCTAAATAGCATCTGGCTATTTTTTAGAGACAGAGTCTCACTTTGTCGCCCTCGGTAGAGTTCCATGCTGTCATAGCTCACAGCAACCTCCAACTCTTGGGCTTAGGTGATTCTCTGCCTCAGCCTTTCCAGTAGATGGGACTACTGGCATCCGCCACAATGCCCGGCTATTTTTTTGTCTGGCCGGGGCCAGGTTTGAACCCACCACCCTCAGTATATGGGGCTGGCACCCTACCCACTGAGCCACAGGCGCCGCCAGAAAATTATGCTTTAAAAAAAATCTCCTACGGGAACAGTCTGGAGTCTGGCCGTCGTTAAGGTGCCACGAGACCGGCCAGGAAGATGCCAGTGGCGGTGATGGCAGAAGGTGCCTTCAGTTTCAAAAAGTTGCTGGATCAATGCGAGAACCAGGAGCTCGAGGCTCTTGGAGGAATTGCTACACCCCCAGTATATGGTCAACTTCTAGCTTTATATTTGCTCCACAATGACATGAATAATGCAAGATATCTTTGGAAAAGAATACCACCTGCTATAAAATCTGCAAATTCTGAACTTGGAGGAATTTGGTTAGTAGGACAAAGAATCTGGTAGAGATTTCCCTGGGGTCTATACGACCATCAATGCTCACCAGTGGTCTGAGACAGTCCAGCCAATCATGGAGGCACTTAGAGATGCAACAGGGAGACGAGCCTTCGCCCTGGTCTCTCAAGCCTACACCTCCATAATCACTGACAATTTTGCAGCCTTTGTAGGACTTCTTGTTGAAGAGGCTATGAAAGGTATATTAGAACAAGGATGGCAAGCCGACTCCACCACCAGAATGGTTCTGCCCAGAAAGCCAGTTGCAGGATCCCTAGATGTTTCCTTTAACAAGTTTAGTCCCTTATCAGAGCCTGCCCCAGTTCCCCCAATTCCCAATGACCAGTAGTTAGCCAGACTGACCGATTATGTGGCTTTTCTTGAAAATTGATCACCCTGAGTTCAAGATCCACCTTTGGAATTCTGTATACTGAGAAATGTAGAAATGTAAAATTTTTATTTTCAATTTATTGGATGGATGAAGCACCTCAGCATTCCTTACTGAGTATGTGATAAAATACATATATAAGGTTCAGCGCCTGTGGCTCAAGCGGCTAAGGTGCCAGCCACATACACCTAAGGTGGCGGGTTCAAATCCCCAGCCCGGGCCCGCCAAACAACAATGATGGCTGCAACCAAAAAATGGCCAGGCGTTGTGGCGGGAGCCTGTGGTCCCAGCTACTTGGGAGGCTGAGGCAGGAGACTCGCTTGAGCCCAGGAGTTGGAGGTTGCTGTGAGCTGTGATGCCACGGTTCTCTACCCAGGGGAATAGCTTGAGGCTCTGTCTCAAAAAAAAAAATACATATATAATATAAGTATATATATATCTATTTTGTCCTTAAACATGCTGAATCGTTGTAACAACACTCATTTTGTAATGTTTAGCAGTCTGGAGGGAACTTGTCAGTATTACGTGGTTAGTTTGTACTTCCTTGGGACTCACAGAGTAAGACCTTCTGCTTCATGTAGAACAGTGGCTGTCAGGTGTCTTTTCCCGGCCCCTGCAAGTGCCACACTCCCGTCTGCACCACTGGTGAACAGTGGCAGTGATTCATTTGGAGTTTGGGGAAGACTTCCCCCAGGGGCAGCGTCTGAATTGCTAGAGAGTATGAGTCATCCTGGTGGGAGAATATGCTCTCTTTTCTTCCCATGTCCTGAGAATCACTAACATAGAATACAGAAATATAACTCAGGAGCAGATAAACCGTGTCCATAGTAAACCAGTTGCTGACTTTAGCATTTTTTCCAGTGGTGTGAGGACAACCATTGCTAGTAGTGGAAGACTTGCTGTGAACACAGGGCTTATTTAACATGTTCAGGAGAAGTATTAAGTTGTAGCTCCTTCAAAAGAAGGGAAAGTTAAGTGCAGAATGCATTACAGGGGAGAAGCTCTTATGCTGAGTGGTACACTTGTACAACGTCCTGCAGCCTGTTAGTTCCTTATATTTATCACTTTGTTTAAGTTCTTCCTTTGGAAAAATATTAAACAAGTCTTTCATTCTTAAAAAAAAAATTCTCCTAAAATAAGTAAGGAGTCCAAGCATGTGGTGAAATAAATATGTCAACATGGCTCGGCGCCTGTGGCTCAAGTGGCTAAGGCTAAGGTGGCGGGTTCGAATCCAGCCCGGGCCGCCAAACAACAATGATGGCTGCAACCAAAAAAAAAAAAAAAAAATAGCCAGGTGGTCCCAGCTACTTGGGAAGCTGAGGCAGGAGACTCGCTTGAGCCCAGGAGTTGGAGGTTGCGGTGAGCTGTGATGCCATGCACTCTACCCAGGGGGGATAGCTTGAGGCTCTGTCTCAAAAAATAAATAAATAAATAAATATGTTAACACAACTGCAATTCTGTTATTACTGGTATATTGGAGTGGCTCTTCTGTTATTTCAACGATGGTATTTAAATATCCTACCTAATAGCTCTGTGGCGCCACTTTAAGGAGAGCTCTTCATTTTTCTCTAAAACCTTTGAACTGTGGCTGATGTGGATTGCTGTGTTTTTTCTCGCTGGGATTTAGTCTTATATTTGTAATTCGTTGGATGCCTGAACATACTGTCTCTCCGCATCAATTCAATGGGTGTGTGTTGGGGGTTTGAGGGTGGAAGTTGTCCGTGCTTCATTTTCTCAAGCTGACAGGCTGACCTATGAGGGACCGGAACACTCTCCGATGTGTTTGGCAGCTCCCGGACACCTGCTCAGGTAACTGGCCCAGCTCCCGCGTAGGGACGTGCTTCTACTGGCCGCCGCCAGAAGGCGCACGAGGCTGCAGCTACAGCTGTGTGATGAAGCCCGGGCTCGGTCGAGGGGCGTGGCCGAAGGTGGGGCGTGACCTCAGAGGGCGGAGCTCACCGCCCGCTGCCCACTAAGGGCCTTTTCAGGCCGGTTGTCTCCCTGGATGCTTACCTGTCTCCACCGCCTTTTCTTTCTATTCTACCCGCTTTTATCTGTCCCCATTTCCCTGCCCTCCTTCACACGAATATTCACCTATTCATTTGTATCCAGGATTCTATCTCCGCCCTCCTTTGCACCCCGCTTTCTCTGCCCTCCCTTGATCCTGCATTTCCCCAGCCCTCTTTTGCACCCTGTATTATCCATGCTCCCTGCACTCCCATTTTCTTGCCCTCTTTGAGCCCTCGTTTTCAGGATCTCAATCCCTGGCTCCAAGGCTCTGTATTTTGTTTCTTATTTTTTTTAAAGACGAGGTCTCACACTGTCGCCCAAGCTGGAGTGCAGTGGTGCAGTTGTAGCTTACTGCCATCTTGAAGTAATCCTCCAGCCTCAGTTTCCCAAAGTGCTGGGGACTATAGCCTTGAACCACCCTGTTTAGCCACTGAGCTTCCTTCCTTCCTTCCTTCCTTCCTTCCTTCCTTCTTTCCTTCTTTCTTCTTTGAGACAGGGTATCACTTTCATACCCAGCGTAGAGTGCTGTAGAGTCATAGCTCACAGCAACTGAAACTCTTGGGCTCAAGTGATCCTCTTGCCTTGGCCTTCCAAGTAGCTGGGACTACAGGTGCCTGCCATATCGCCTGGCTATTTTTAGAGACAGGGTCTCCCTCTTCCTTAGGCTGAGCTCAACCAATCTACCCGCCTCTGCTTTCCAGAGTGCAGGGATTACAGGAGTGAGCCACTGTGCCACACCTTTTCCTTCTTTCAAAAGACCTTTTAGAGAGAAGTGTGGAAGGACACACTCTTGGCTATGAACAGGGCTTGTGGTCTAGGCAGAAGACAGCCACTTTTTCCTGAATATCTTGTTCAGTTATTTTTACATGGTCCAAGCAGCTGGTGATTTTTTTTTTTGAGACAGAGTCTCACTATGTCACCCTCGGTAGAAGTGTCCCCCTGGGTAGAGTGCT